TCTTCGTCACATTCACCGCATCGACTTTCGCAATTGCCGCAACTTTTCGGACACCAACATCAAAACGCAGACGACGTGCAGGAATTCTGTGAGCTATCGGTAGGTGAACCCTTCGAGACGCAATAAGCAATCGACTGGAGGATATCATCATATTGGGTTTAAGTTCTGTAGAGTTACTCCTCTCAAATCTGCCGCCAAGTCGTCGTTTGCTACCAAGCGATCGGTGAATCTTTAACGAAGACATAAGGATGCGAGTAGTTGAACACTCAAACTCGATCGATTCATTTTCTCGTGGAGCATCCCTGACTTTTTGAATCTTTTTCTGGATAATTTTCGAGTTTGCAGAAAATCTTTTGCCAATTTTAGATTCCTCTTGAACGGTTCGGTAGAGTTTCAAAGATGTATGGAGAACGCGGCGCGATGAACATTCCTTTACTTTAGGTTTCGTAACAACCGGAGGAAGTATTTGATAGCGACGACCAATAAGTGAGCGCACGGCCGTTGCCTTGTTCATTCGCAACGAAGCAAACAGAATTCGACGAGTCTTTATTACTCGCGATTCCCTTTTGTTGGTTAAATCTACAGAAACCTCTTTCTCGCTCCTTAACCGAAATCTCGGTCCAATTACACAACTGTTTCCCAAAACTTTGTGTAATTTCAACGTAACATAATACGTTAAAGTTCGCGAACACTCATGAGTACGAATCTTTTCTGGTATCGCAATCTGTTTAACCTCAACCGATTTTCGCCCTTGATTTCGAGTCGCAGGCGGGTTTCGAAGTCTGGGTACATTCTCCATCTTCGACATCGTTGGTTTCGCGTAAAACGGCTGCTTCAATATCTCCTTCTGAATCTCCACTGCCGCATTGGACAACTTCTCAACTCGTTCCAAAGGCGACGTTAACGGTGTTGTAACAGAAGACCCAACCGACGATTCAACTTCAGTAATATACTCAACCGACTCTTCATCATCATCCAATGCATCCCGATCGTGCACGACTTCGTAAGGTAACCGACTCATTCGTTTTCGAGGTTGCCAGTGAGTAGATTTCGTTGTATTGATTTTTAATCGTCGGTTTTTGATTTCGATTGGTGTTTCGGGGTATTCGATTATCATTCTGTAGCGGCGGCCTGGGAATCCATGTCGGCAAGCGTTGGTTTGGAAATGTCCGCTGGTTTTGATTAGTTTGTTGGTTACGTAGTGAATTATGCTGTCAGAGGGGTTGAACTCATGCTTGAGAGTTGGTTGTTCCTCTGGAATAGAAACTGAAGAGTCCACAAATACGTCAAGAGAAAATTCTTGAGTACTGGTTTCGTCCTCGATAGACTTGCTCGTCGGTATTGATAAAGAAGAAGCGGTTCCGTTTGATTCAAAAGTAGATCGCTTTGTGCGGTTTATTTGGAATTCAAAGCCCGAATAATTCATGCTATCCCTTTCGAATCCTTTGCGTACTTCAATGGCGCTTTGCATAGGGCTCTTTTCAATAAATTTTGAAATTTCGTTCTCCTAAATGACAAATAAATTATGTAACTCTACCAACAATACAAAAAAAAAGCGCAAACTAACCTCAAAATAACTTAATTCAAAATCATTCGATGTTGAAGATCTAATCCACTCAAATCGATGATGTTTTCCAATTCTGGGTTTCAAAGACGAGTATAACTTCCAAGTACTCAACGTTACTCTCTGCTTATTTATCGTCCAAAAGTTCTTCACCTCTTTCGCAACAACAGGCGACAAATCCTCCAATACCTCCGATTCGCGGGTATCAACGACATTCTTCCAACGGAACCGTAATTTTGCTGAAGGGTGCAATCGCATCGCAGCCAAATGCATCTTGAACGTAGTGTATAGTAACAACGCTTTCGAGAATTTCCAGTTCTTTGGTCTCGATTGGAACAATGTCATTTCTGTAACGTACTGAGACCCATAACCTTGTGGTTCCATCTCCGAAGCAGACATCAAATCTTGGGTTATCCAGTGGTATCGTTGTTTGGGTGACCCTTTCCTCGATTTCAAATGCGAATGTAACTTGTAAGTCACATGTAGAAGCATCGGTTTCTTAATTCCAGTAAATAACGGTTCCTTCTTTCCATCCAATTTCTCTTCCAAATCACGTTCAATAACCGATTCATCTTCTTCGTCTGAAATTTCCACGCTACCCGGTGAATCGATATTCCACGTCGGCTGAACGCTGGTTGGTTGCAAAACCGGTGTATTTTCAACAATTTCGAATACTTCAGATTCAACAGAGTACTGCGACCCATCATTCTCTTCACGAACAAGTTCCTTCGACCTTAAAGTCGGTGTTTCAAAATCGTACTCTGATTCCGCTTGGGGTGAAAGACGAACACTTTCTCCACCACGTGTAGAAATATTTGTCTCAGAATATGCATCGTCATCATCAACTTCCGATGCCGCATCAATTAACAGAGACGTTGGTAATTGGTACGACTCTTCAATGTCAATGTTATTGAGAATAGAACTTCCAGTCAAGACGCCGTATTCTTCGGTATCAATTAAACTTCCAAGACTGATTTGCGGGCGGTGGTTAATAAGCGAGTTCTTCAACTTTTTACCGAGTCGGTGTTTTGGTGGAGAACTGACGATTGGAACGTTTGCGTAGGGGTTCATACTTTTTGGTTTTGGGATATCGATCGCGTTGTTTGCTAGTTTACTGGGTACCTTTCGTTGCGAAGCTGGAATAATCACGGGAATCGGTTTTGTTCCTTCGTTGGTTAATGGTAAGGGTGATTCGTTTTTGTAGAGTTCCATAATATCCACTGACGACGCGGGAGAGTTTGGTACGTTTTCAAACAAAGAAACTCGAGAAGTTCTCGGTGTCACCTTTAAGTTCGAAACATTGTGGTTGTCCGTATTCGGTTTTTCATTCGCGTCATCAACTGTGGGTTTCTTAAACATTTCTTCAATGACTTGATCCAGTTTGCTGATTTCCATGCTAAGCATCAGTGAAATTCTTGGTGGTTCGACCCCAAGTTTTTGTGTCGGTCGCTCATTAAGTTCTTGCAGAGTCGATAGGAGTGAGCTGTTTATCGTTCTGCGTTTCGATTTAATAGATGAAGAGCTGGATGTAACCGAAGATCGTAGTTTTCGAGTAGGCTTTTCAACAGAGCGATTGGAATCCATCGAAATTACCGAAGCATCATCTTTTAGTGCTGCGTTTGGTGCTTGTTGCTGCTTCGCCCTGACGTTGCGTGGTAAACTAGATGCTCTCTTTGTGATATGCTTTGAAATATCAAAATCTAATAAAAATCGTGAATATTGATGAAACAAAATTAGAGTAAAGATAAAAGATTTACCTTGGCTGGAACCAATGGATGATTTTCGAGAGATTTCACCAACGCTTCTTCTCAAATTGTTGCTTGTTGTCACCGTACTCACCGTACTAGGCGCTTGTTCGCCGATACTTCTTCTCAAGCTGCTGCTTGTAACCGTGGTTGAGACCTGAGAGGAATCATCTTGCGAAGCGACATCATTAAAGACCGGCGTCGATCTAGTTTTTAAGATAGACTGCAATCTCCCGCCTCCAGGTTTGACATTGGGAGAGTTTAAGACTCCAGTTTGGCCGCTAAACGTCACGGATTTTCGCATTTCAGTGACTGGTGGATTTTGCAAGACCCTGTAGGTATTTCCTGCTACTCTAGAGATTTCGTTCTTGGCCGTATCTCCATAGATGTTGTTGCGGGGAACAGGTGGTTCATCGTCATCGCCGAATTTCATTGGAACGATCCTGATTGTTGCTTTTTTGGATTTTCTATGTCGAACCGATTTTTTTGCGGCTTCCTGGGACGTTTGATTACTTGGAAGCAATACTCCGGATTTTACACCCTCATTAGGCACCACAGTTTGAGTTGATGTGTACTGAACTTGTGGAACGGTCGACACTTTTGTGATTTGCGAAACCGGTCGATCAAACGAGCGGAAAGAGTGTGGAACAGGATTAGATTCAATCATAACGTGGTTAACGTGAATCGGCTCCAAATCTAGTCTAACATCTGCTGGAGGTTGGGAGATATTCTGCGTGTTCGAACTGAACATATTACCATCATTGATTCTGTTCATCGAGTTCATACGATGTAAACTAGACGTTCGAGACATTGATGAGTAGCGAGAATCTGGCCTTGAAACGACCGAAGATGATCTACCCAACGAAGGATGATTTCTGTTCATATCTTCCGAATTCGGGTAATCAGAGTTGTAGTGCGAATTCGGCGGTCTTTGAACGAGAATATTCGTATACGTTCTTCCTACATCATCATTCACCAATTGCGGTTGCTGCGAAGTATACTGCAAAATTTCCAAAGAATCAGAATTGACATTTCCATTATACGGAGTTTTATTCAAAACAACCGGCGGAGGTGACGGTGTTTTGATATACTTCTGCGACCCAATCTGAGCAGCTTCGATATCTTTATTCTTTCGATTCTGTTCTTCATAATCACGTCGCGCTTTCCGTTTTTTGAAAAACAGAATGAACCCGCCAATTGTTAATATCAATCCGATTGCAGCACCGACAACGGATAGTACGCCGACTAGGGAAGACATTGTAGAGTCTTTTGTGGCGAGAAGGCCGGCAGGAGGGGGTATAAGTGTGGAAGACGATCCAGAAGCGATGATTCTGGTGGTTGTGATGGATCGCGAGAGAGAAGTGGATCGAGTAGTGGAATAAAGAATGCGGGAAGTAGAAGTAGCGGGAATGACCCTCGTGGACATGGTGCAGTATGGGACAGCGTGAGTTTAATTTTGTTTTCGATCCTGTCAATCCGTTTCTGAGCCCAGGACCCGCTGGTTACACTGACCGCTCTGTGTGTTACTATTAATTTGTGATCAACTTCAACAAACAATCTGCCAAGCTGCGAAAAGCACAGCACTCGATCGCAAAACAAATCACAAAGTTGAGAGGAGATATAAACATGCTTGTAATTTTATTAACTTTACATTATATATGTGTGCTAAAATTTCGATCCAACCAAAGAAAGCTCGATTAGCTCAGTTGGTTAGAGCGTGGTGCTAATAACGCCAAGGTCACAGGTTCGATCCCTGTATCGAGCATTTTTTGAACTTTTTCACGCTTTTGCCTTATTTTTTTGCCGGAATGGCTGATTCGGAGAAAGAGATTGTCGATTTCATTTTAGCATGTTGCAAATTAATAAATCTGTATTTAGCTTTATCCTTTTTTATTAAATTTATCTAAACACATTATTTCCAGACCGCTGATAACTATCTCAACGTCTTTAATTTATCATCACCGATTCCAAAAATTCTACAACTCCAAACCCACAACGGACGCTTCACAACCCACCGAAAAAATGGACATGCACGTAAGATTTCAAAAAATCCAACTGCTAATTTAAATAATTTTAAAATTGATAACTCCCAATTACCTCAATTTAGCTCGCAGCAACGTCACTGATTCTTTTGGCTACGAAACATACCGAAGTACCACGAAAAGTTAGAGATATAGTAAATTGCGGATACTGGTGAAAAATCAATCCACCTACTTTTGAAAAAAAATTTTAAACTGTAATTTGTTCACGATTCAGGTTATTAAACCATCAAAATGAAGATCAAGGATATCTGGATGTCGGCGAAGACTCTGAACTCTACGCAAACCTACGCGACTCGCTAATAACCGCCGAACTATTCTCTCTCCGAGTTTTAAATTTCAATACAAATACCGATTTAGCGTACGTTCCTGTAGCAATAATCACACATAGTCTTTGGCGATTCTATACTTTGAAAATGAGCGATCGGGAGATGGAGAATTTTGCAGGCGAGTTTAAAAAATTATGTGAGAGTGCGGTGCAGATTGTTTGTGACTCGTATGTTAATGCGAGAGTTGCGTTGGAGTTTTCTGGTGTTGAAGTTGCGTTAGCTTGTGTTTTTATTGCTGTACGGAATGTCAAGTTGGAGTTGCCGTTGAAATTTGAAGTGGTATGAACCATATTTGCAATATGTTTAACTTCTCTCCATCTTACGTTTGGTATCAGTGGTGTATGGATCCTGTTGATCCTGATATCGGTAAATACTCCAACAATGAATCTGAACACTTGATTTCTAAGCGGAATAGACAGTCGTTGAGAGGAGAAAAGGATCGCGTTCAACGAGTGTTGGTATGCGCGGAAATCATTCAAAAAGTAGCGACAAGTTCTTAATTTTGTAATAAACAATTCGTATAATATGTGAAAAAGTCATTAAATCACATTCGAATAAATATTTAAATGATTTTTTTTGCGATTATAAAAAAAACTTTAATTAATAC